CCCCCTGCCCTGCCAGAGGGGCCCCCAGCCCCCTGCAAGCCGCACTTACCTCAGGCTCCAGGAAAAGAGTGAGGCTGAGCTGAGCAGAGCCATGGCTGATGGAGAGCCTCAGGCCCTGCCCTTCCCCTCCCCCTCCCCCTCCCTCTCCCCCTCCTCCTCCCTCTCTGAGCAGCGCTGGGGTTTCCTGCTCTGTTTGCAAACAGGTTTTGCAGGCTGGGGCTCAGCCAGCCTGCAAAGCTGTTTGCAAAAGCAGGGAATCCACGGGTTTCTCTGCTAAAAGGAGAAATCTGCATTTTCTATGATGAAAAGGGGAAATCCGTGGTTTTCTCAGTTTTTCCGTGGAAAACGGAAAACCCAGATCCCTGCTTATTAGTACTTGGATCAACCTAGTGGCCAGCCAAGTTGATCGTGAGTAGGAACTGGGCTCCTGCTAGTCCATCTTGTCAGATGAACTGTTGCTTCAGGATGACATGCAGAACAAGACCCAAAATCAATATGTCTCACCCCATCTTTTATAGCCTTGTCAATTCACCCAGTCCTTTAGGTTTTTGCTGTGTTATGACTGTGTTCTTCCTTGCAGGTTGATTGCCATTGTTCTCTCACTGTTCTGGGGCAGATTCTTCTTGTTTTGGTCTTTTATCTGTCTGCATTCTTCAGCCAGTCACCAGCTGATGTTTTACTTTTCCACAGAGTGAAGTAAAACATTTACTCTATGTTCCAGGAGAATGGTTCCCCCACCTGTCCTGCCAATCTGCTGATTGGTGGGATAGATGAGGGGTCATTCTCTTGGGGCTCTGGGAGAGCTCCAGCCTTTCACCTGCTTTCTGCATGAATGGAACGTCTGTACATGGCCACTGTCAGATCCTCCTTTGAGGATGCATACCATTGCATTCAATAAGGGGAGCTTTATCAACACTTAACTTATCTGATCGCTAAGGGCCAGATCCTAATTGATCTGTAGGATGGCTCCAATAAGGCATTGCAACATGTAAATTTCAAGCATCTCATCCCATCCTGGTTACTGAAATTGAGAAGTTAGGTGTCTAGGCTTCCTTTGTAGCGAAGGGCAATCTGCTGGCAGTAGTGGTGGTTGTCTCTTCGTTGGCCAGGAAGTCAGAAACCCAGTTTCTAAGCTCTCCTCTGTCTGAAGTGACTCAAGGCACATTTCCCACTTCTGAGGAATACACCCTAACCAGAAGGCTGTGGGAACAGGTACCTGCTCATCTCGTCTGCTGAAACTGGCTTAATGGGCAGGAAAGACTGAGAGAGTCAATGAGTCTGTATACAGAAGAACCAAGAGGGAACATGACTTCCTAACCTAGAGTTAAGGCATTCATTTGTATAGGAAGGAGTCTAGGAGAGGATTCAAGTCCACATATTCCAGGTCCCAGGAGAGCATCTCAATGCCTCCACCTCTTCTGTGAAAACACAAATGCAAAACAATAAAAAAAATCCTTCCAAATAAATATGTTTTGCCTAGTCTTGTACGTGCTTGGGAATCTGTATTTCTTAGCTCAGATTTCTGATATACTTATTTTAACATCATTTAAGTTTTGAATGACAAAAAGTAGAAGAGCTAAATTATTTTTTAAAATTGTGATGGAATATTTTTGCTGTAATGTGGCAGCCATTTTTGGAAAGAACTTGCTGTTCTTAAACCAGATCAGAGAGCAGTTTAAAAATGTGAGTGTTCGAGATCTGAGATACAATTTGTGTGGCTTTTTTTTCCCTTTAACCAGTCCTAATAAATAGCGATGGTCTCTCTGCAAAAATATTGCTGCCAAGCATATAAATATTGGGTGGTTATCCTGACTTCTTGTAATTTCTGAAAGTCTTGTGATTGGATATTTTTGCAAGATCTCCAGCTTTAGCTTGGATAAAACCAGAAATACTTCAAAAACAGTCGTAAACAGTTTTCAACATCTTGGTCTGGGCTTGAAAATGAAGCCACATATAAAAATAATGGTTCCTTATTTCAATGTATGCTTCCAGCTGTTTGTAAGAACATTATTGGTTTTTATTAAATAAATTCTTACCTTGCAACAGGCTTTCTCTCCCAAACCTGACAGATATTATAGGCATAGTCTGGAATATGCTTGGGTCAGTTCATATAAAACATGATATGAATAAAATATATATTCAGAAATTCCAATAAATGTCTTGTCCTATGTATTAGATGTTCAGAACTCAGTCTTACAGTCCTTATGCATTAAAGACGATGAGTCTTTGGTATTGAAAAACTAGCCATTACAGTTGTCCATATTATACAGTAAGGCTGGTCAAGCAGGGCATGAGCTCCAGATGGTGCCTAATGGTGGATTTCAGAATGAATATAACAGGGCAGACCACCCTCCATCTCACAGGTCCTCCCCTCTGCCGTTTACCTTCCCTGCATCAAGTCTGGCAGTAGGGAGGACAGAATAGGAGTGGTGTGTAGTGCAGGAGAAGCAGCTAGGAAGATGTCACTTCCTGCCTCTCTCTCTTCTTTTGCTGTTCAAAATCGATGTTTAAATGGCCACTTGACATACATGGCAGCAAAAAAAAGAGCTAACATGTCCCATAGCAGCAAACTTCCCACTCCCACTCCTGCCTCCTGCACTGTATGCCACCGCTGCTGATCTGCTGTCCCTGGTACTGGAGCCAGAACTAGAACCTGGGGACCAGAGCTGGCCATGACACCTCTAAAATTATATGACCACTAGATTTTGTTTTTATAAACTAGTTAGAACTAGATATTGCTTACATCATAATGATATATCAAACAACTTCATTTCTGTTTTGTTGGAGGAAAAATCATCTGCTGGCCAAATTCTGTTTAGTAATAAATTTAGATTTGCCCCAAATACAAGCTTTCAAGGAATACAGTTGTGGATGATGTTATCATGAGGTATCCAAGTCACTGTTTGCTGGATTGAAAAATGCTATCATAGAAATGTTCTTTGATACAGAAAGATACGTGATTCCTTTTTTTGTCCTGGGTTTGCAAGAGCATGTTAAAGATTAATTGAACTTTTATAAGCCAGAGTACCTTAGGAATTATAAAGCCAGTGAACTGTAATTGAGTTTGACGAGTAGGTTTATTTTACAATTAATAATGAGATTAGTTTGGAAACCTTAGAAGTTTGCTGGACTAAAAGAATATTGATGATTGTCTTTGATGTGACCGAATTAAATATGTAATGGCTGTTAAGAGGACATGTATACCTGGAAGAGAGGAAATATTAGAGCACAGAAGTAAAGAAAAATGCTTGATGTCCAGTATATTCAATTTGCCATGGACTCTAATCCTTAGAAGGTTTTCTTAATCTTTCATTCTTGTCTTTTCCTTATCCCCAACCCTATATAGACCCATACTGGAGAAAAAGAGAAAATCTGCCCTTACTGTGGTCAGAAATTTGCAAGCAACGGAACACTGAGAGTTCATATTCGGAGTCATACAGGTACAGTATTATGTGGAAATTGAAGAAAAACTTATCCAAGCTATATAAATATTCTACAAACATATCATGCTTTACAAGGGGAGGTGTTTAGGTTATATCTACAACAGGCTGGCACTGTGTTCTAGCTTGGCATGCCCAGCTAGGACAGCTCTTGACATGGTCTGCCCTTGCGCACATGCCACACACTCCAAATCTGGAAACATGACATTGAAGGTCATTTGGGGTCCTCTCTTAGTGGCTTCCCACAAGATTGCTAGAGATCAAGACCTTGAAAGTGTCCACAGGTTGACACAACATCTTATGCTAAATTTAGTTAAGAGTAAGTGAATGGAAAAAAAAGATCAGTCAGACTATTCTGGTTTGAAATCCTGATTTATTGAACACATAAGCAAAACCAATCTTTAAGCAAGGATTTAAATGCAACACTTCACTTTTAGACAAGTCCTGACAATCAATACAGATATTCTTACATAAGCCTTCCAATAGATACAGTGAGTTCAGCTGGCCAGACGTTCCTCACATCACCAGGGTTCAAGTACCTGTTGTTTCTTGTCCTGTGTATTGTTCTCTCCCCAAGCTTTAAGTCCTTTTACAGTTCTTATATAGTGGTCTAGTGTAAACTTAGTTGTTCCATGCAGTTTCCTGACTTAGCATTGACAGCTGTAGTTACGATTTCTTTTTACCATTTGCCTAATCAACCTTTTCTGCTCATGTGCTTTCTTTATAATCAAATGCCTTTTAGCTGTTCATTTTGCAGCACTTGTGTTTAGCAATGTGTGTGTGTGTATAAATCTCACTAATTGTGAGTAAATTTGCTACCTACAAATGCACGTAGCAAATTTACTCACTAGTAGTTACTGCGCAGTAGCACTCATGTAGATGCCTGACCAGGAACAAATCTGTTCCTGGTCAGCGAGGCACCAGGGGGCAGGAGATTGCTCTGTGCCCCAGCAGGTGCCTGCTACCAGGGTAGGGGGACATAGTCCCTGCCCGGGCTTCGCCACTGGAGCCCAGGCAGGGGCTATGTACCCCTGTCCCAGCAGCCGGGAGCTCAAAGCCCCCTGCTCCGAGATAACAATCGGGGAGCATGTGCTGGGAGAACCTTATCTCCCAGCCCCTGCTTCACTATCGTGATCATGGAGCAGGAGGTTGGGAGATCCTTATCTCCCAGTGCTAGCTCTGCAACAGCAGGGCCAGTGCTGGGAGATGAGGATCTCCCAGCATCAGCCCCACAACAGTGGGACTGGCGCTGGGAAATAAGGATGGGAAAAAAAACCCGCAGCATCCTTATAGGCTCGGCAGTGCTATGTTGGCTAGCACTATGGAAGGAAGAGACTTGGGGGTCATCATTGACCACAAGATGAACATGAGCCTGCAATGCGATGCGGCGGCTAGTAAAGCGACCAAAACACTGGGCTTGCATCCATAGATGCTTCTCAAGCAAATCCCGGGACGTCATTCTCCCCCTGTACTCGGCCTTAGGGAGGCCGCAGCTGGAGTACTGCGTCCAGTTTTGGGCTCCACAATTCAAAAAGGATGTGGAGAAGCTTGAGAGAGTCCAGAGAAGAGCCACGCGCATGATCAGAGGTCAGGGAAGCAGACCCTACGATGACAGGCTGAGAGCCCTGGGGCTCTTTAGCCTGGAAAAGCGCAGGCTCAGGGGTGATCTGATGGCCACCTACAAGTTTATCAAGGGTGACCACCAGCATCTGGGGGAACGTTTGTTCACCAGAGCGCCCCAAGGGATGACGAGGTCGAATGGTCACAAACTACTTCAAGATCGTTTCAGGCTGGTCATAAGGAAGAACTTCTTTACTGTCCGAGCCCCCAAGGTCTGGAACAGCCTGCCACCGGAGGTGGTTCAAGCGCCTTCATTGAACACCTTCAAGATGAAACTGGATGCTTATCTTGCTGGGATCCTATGACCCCAGCTGACTTCCTGCCCTTTGGGCGGGGGGCTGGACTCGATGATCTTCCGAGGTCCCTTCCAGCCCTGATGTCTATGAAATCTATGAAAATCCTGAATTCCCAGCCTATTCTCTAGTGTGACCACACTTCATAATTTGGTGTCATCTGCAAACTTAGCCAGTCCACTTCTGACACCCAAATCCAGATCATTTATTTATCCAGTTTGCTATACATTTATACAACACTTATACAAGCATGTTGGTCGTATTGGTAGACTCCACTTAGCAGAGATGGGGTGTTCATTTTAAGGAGCTGCCAGGTAGCTGAAAAAAGTTGTTTTGGAATGCTTTGCTTCCAGCATAAAGGGAGATAGATGTGAGTTTGACACACGAAGCTGCAGCTAACAAATAAACTTCCTATGACAGTCTCTTAACTTTTGTATAAACAGATTTGGCTTGGAGGAAAATGACAGAATGTGTATGTTTAATCATTTGGCTTTTTACTGTTTGACAAAAGTCTTAATCACTTCTGTCTATCAAAGCTACCTGTTAAGATCAACACTTCTTTATTTGTTGGATGTACAAATAATAATGAGACAGGATAATGAGACCAACTAAAGAGATTAATTTAATTTGCATTTTAAGCTTTTAGTCTTTGCTAAATGAATTGTTTTTGAAAGTTAATACTCATGACATCTATAAAACAGAATTCTGCTGAGATTGCTTTCCCTTTTATTTAAGTAAATAGTAAGCAGAAACACAAAACACACTCAAGTCAGAGCTGGGAAGATGGTGTAGTAGTTCTTTTCTCTTTTTCTGGTCACGACTCCAACTCTTAAACTCTTGTCAAGCCCCTTCTGCCCAACCTCTCTCTTCTTGTCTTCCACTTGGTCTCTCTCTCTCCTGTCCTCAGTGTCCATTCCTTCAACAATGACACTTGCAGGGTGTGGTGGGGAGCAAATGATCTAGACATGTAAGGAACCCAGTGTAAATTGATGAACCAAAATGTTTAATTTCAGAATGAAATGAAATTATTTTAACTGAAAATGTCATTTTAAATTAATGTAGAAGGCTGGGTAGATTTGTATGAGCCTCGGCTCAATTCATCACAATAATTTTAAATTTTAATTTAATTTTCAGTTAATATCAACTGAAAAGATTTCATGTTAACTTTTAGAAAAACTTCATTTTGAAAAGTCTAAAATATTACCTTTCAGTTAGAAATGGTGAAGCTTCTTGTTTTGGCATCAAATTGAATTATTTCTGAATTATGAAATTCTGCAATGTTTTTCAGTATTTTAACTTTTCTACCCATTTTGAGGTGGAAACAAATGTAGAAATATCAGATTTTCCTGAGAGAGAACAGTTCTACTTTTAGACCAGTTCTACTGATTAGAGTGTAAATGATCCATAGCTTGAAAGATATTGCTTTGGAGAAGTCTCTCTTGTACATAGTAATCCATACAAGAAAATGTAACGTTAATTCTTTTAGCTGTTGTTTAATACATGGCACTTGTTCTTGAATATGTGCATGCTTCCTCAATTAGTAGTTTTTAGAATAAGGCTCTGTAAATGAGGCCTAGCAGTACTTGGCCTCTAGCAGAAACTGCGCTGGTTTGGGGTGGGTGACAATGCCTGCATGTGCATGTGTGTAAGAACGCTGGATGTTTGCGTCTGAGCTTGGCATGTTGCTCTGTAATTCATCATCTGGGTTTCCAGCTTTGCAGTGACAGAGACAGCACTCTGTAGGTCAGCTGAAACACTATAGCACATTCTCCCCCTGCTATATCCTGTTGTTTTATGGCTTCTGAGGGTCAGAAGGAGCTGGGGTTAATTCAGCAAAGGAATCCTCTGACTGTGACATAAATTCCATTGGTTGTTCATAAATTGTGAAAGAAATTCTATGAACTGCTTTTTGGGATTTTAAAGCTATAGGCCAGAAGGTTAATTACTTGCCTGAAGTTTCAACCAACTTCCAGTGCTAACAGTTACCGGCTGTTGTTTCTTCTTTTTTAGGTCTTGCTTTACACACAGATATTTAAATATAATCATGGCTGTCTTATAGTTTTAAAAAAATCGTTGTGTGCCTAATCTAATTGATTATGGGTACATCTATCTTTGGGGTACAATACAAGGAGTTGCAGTGTACCAGTTTGATATGGGCAGTTTAATTTGCAGCTACTGTTTTCCAATACATAGAAAAAAAGATACTGCGAGTGTAAAATTATTCCCACTTTATTATACTATATTTGGAAGCTGGTGAAGTACATGTAGTGATCTTCTGAAAACTGTCTTGTAGATGACAATGGGTTAAGTATAGAGAGGTAGCTTTAATTCCTTGAGTCAAAGACTCAGTACAGATCAGTAAAAGTCCAAAATATTGTTGAAACATTTGTGATTTTTTTTTTCACTTCATTTTATATCCTTTTTTATTAAGCCATAGCACATGGTATAAGTTTCCTATGTATTAAGTGTGCTGCTCTCTTTAAAAATCTAGCTTTCATTCTTGAAAAAAAAAATTAAGATTCCATTGGGATCAAATTTGGTGTCTATGTATGAGTTGTATTAAAATTAAAGCTACGAAAACCTTAATTTCTACATTTTAATTGTAAATGTATTAAGGTTTATTTGTCTAAATGTTGAATCATTGCATTAGTCTGTGTTTTTGTAAATATGTTTTCAGATATGTTTTGTACAATCATACTTGAAGATTATATTTTTCCCTTTACAAGAATCTGGCTGGCTTTAAAAAGTTATATTTTATTTTTAATTACACAAAAACTACTTGATAACTTTGTATGATAATAATTAAAGGTGAATTTGACTTGACAGTTTAATACTAGTTAACATGACATGCACAGACACAAAAGTCCCTGGATGGAATGCAAATTAAAAAAAGAGTTAATACATGCAGAAATAAATAGTATTTACATTATAAAGTTGATTTATATGGGGATATATATATGGATATGGGATATAAGGATATATATATATGGATATGGAGATATATGGATATATATATGTATGGAGAGAGAGAGAGAGATATCTATAGATATATATCTATATCTATAGATAGATAGATAGATATCTATA